CTGGTGGTGCGAAAGTGGGAGATGGCAGGGAGAAGGGAGGAGTGGGGGAGGGTGGGGTGCGGTTGCAGCGTCAGTGTTTGTTCACAGTGGGAGAGGATGGCGATGAGGAGGGCACTGGCACTGGCACTGGCTCTGGTGGTGATGGTGATGGTGCAATACAACACTCTGTCCAGAAGGGACCAAGTGGGAGTAAGAGCTCTAGTGGAGGAGTTATCATCCCCATTGCAACTCCAGTTAAAACCCCTGCAGCAGCAGCAAGTAGCCAGCCTACATCCACCCATGCGCCTTCCTCTCACGACGACCCATCCTTCCAGGCGCTGCTGCTGCGGCGGCTTCGCAGCATCACCCTGCGAGACCGGTCCCTTGGGCGCAGCAGCAGTGGCAGCAGCAAAGGGGGAGGGGTGAAGCTGTCCCGTAGTCGCAGTATCATGGGAAGTTTTGTGCACAGGCAGCCGGGAGGGGAGAGGGGGGAGGAGCGTGTGGGGGAGGTGGGGGAGGAAGGAGGGGATGGGAGAGGGGAAGAGGGTGGTGAGGGGATGGAGGAGGACGGCGCAGGACAAGGTGGGCTGGTGGGGGTTGTTGAGGGGGGTGTGTGCTTGAGAGTGTGGATGAGGGTGGTGTGTAGTGTCCGTATGTGAGGTTGTGGGGAGTATAAAAGGGGGGTGGTAAGATGAAAATAGAGTGCATGATGCCTATCTTTGAGTCGACTCAAAACTAGGTTGGTTTTGAGTCGACTCAAAACTAGGTTGTGGGGAGTATAAAAGGGGGGTGGTAAGATCAAAACAGAGTGCATGATGCCTATCAATTCACTCAACTCACCCTTCCAGTTTCTTTGTTTCATTCACACCATGTCTTTTGCCCCGTCCCTCCCTCCCCCTCTCAGGCTTGGTGCAGAAGGAGCGGAGGGAGGAGGGCATGGTAAGTCTGCAAGTCTACCTGGGGTATGCCAGGAGGGTGATCTGAGGTGTCCCTCTCCCTCCCCTCTCGCCTGAAGCATTTCTTGGTTTTGTCCACGCTCCCTCCCTCCCTATTCCCCAGGCTTGGTGCAAAAGGAACGGAAGGAGGAGGGCATGGTGAGTCTGCAAGTGTACCTGGGGTACACCAGGAGGGTGGGCGTATGGCAGTCGCTGCTGCTCGTCGTCCTCCTCGCCTTTGGACAAACCCTCGCGTGTGCAGGCGACTGGTAAGGACCTTTCAGACAGCTCTTTCTTGAATGGTCCTTCATTAATTCGAGCAGAGGGTTTAAGGTTTCGGGTTTCAGGTTTGGTCTCGCTCCCACTCCCTACTCTCTGCTCCCCGCTCCCTGCTCCTCCCTTCCATGTGAATGGTATTTTTTTCACCATCTCCTTCTTTCCACCAACACCCATCTCCCACACCCCATGCCCCACGCCCCGTTACTCCATCTTCCTATCCCCTCTGTCCCATCCCTCTTTTCCCCCCCAGGCTCCTAGCATTCTGGTCGCAGAAGAAAGACAAATCTGGCCCATACCGACCCATCTACACACCGGACTTGTGCTCACGGGCGTGGCCACTTCCTTTACTGCTCGGGCCTCATCGTCCCTCCGTTCCCCCCTTGCTCCCTCAGGTTCCTTGCGTTCTGGTCCCAAAAGAAGGATCAGTCGGGCCCGTACCGCCCCATCTACACCGCACTAGTCCTCACGGGCGTTGTCACATCCTTCCTCCGCTCGGGGCTCTTCTTCCGGTGGTGTGTGCGCGCTGCCTCGCGCATCCACTCCGCCATGCTCGCCTGCGTGCTCGGCTCGCCCCTCGCCTTCTTCCACGCCAACCCCATCGGCCGCATCCTCAACCGCTTCTCAGCAGATCAAGGCATTCTGGATGATTTGCTGCCCTTCACTCTCTTTAACTACCTGCAGGTGTGTGGTAGAGTGAGTGAGTTGAGTGGGGAGTGCTGTGAGTGTGCTCGGCTCTCCCCTCGCCTTCTTCCATGCCAACCCCATCGGCCGCATCCTCAACCGCTTTTCTGCAGACCAGGGGATTTTAGACGACCTGCTGCCCTTCACTCTCTTTAACTACCTGCAGGTGTGTGTCTGAGCATGGTGTGGGGTGTGGGTGGGGTGTGGGTGGGGTGTGGGGGGTGCCGTGTGGGTGGTGGGGGGGGCTGTGTGGGGAACGGGGGTTCTCAGCAGACCAGGGGATTTTAGACGACCTGCTGCCCTTCACTCTCTTTAACTACCTGCAGGTGTGTAAACAACGAGTTGACTTACAAGTCACTGTGGACTGTGTGGGGTGTTGTGTGGTTGGTGGGGGCACTGGGCATACATGCGTTGCATCTTACTCACCGCCCTCCCTGTCCTTTCCCCCAAATTCGCTCTCCACCCTCTCCCTCTCTCCCCCCATTCCCCTCTGTCCCATCTCCTCCCTCTCCGCTCTCTCGCTCTCTCCTTCTCTCCCCAGAGGCCCAACCTGGCAGTGGGGTCTATGGTGATGGCGGTGTATGTTCTTTGAGAATTCTCAAAAAACATACACTCCATGGTGATGGCAGTGCTACATACACATGCCCTGGAGTTCCATATTCGTTCATCACCCTCCAAAACCAACCCATCACCTCCTCTGCATCCGTGCCCTTCCTTCCAACACCTTCCCCTCCCTCCCAGACGCTCAGCCTGGCAGTGGGGGCCATAATGATGGTGGCGCTGGGAGTGCCGTGGATCCTCCCTAGACCTTTCTCATCCCATCAATACCACCCCACCCCCTCCCTCCCCTCTCTCCCACCTCTGTTCCCCCAGACGCTCAGCCTGGCGGTAGGGGCCATAGTGATGGTGGCGCTGGGAGTGCCGTGGATCCTCATCCCCATGGCTGTTCTCTTCCTGCTCTTCCTGCGCCTGCGCTACATTTTCCTCTGCACGTCCCGCGAGGCCAAGCGCCTGGAGGCCATCACGCGCAGCCCTGTGTGTGCACACTACGCTGCCACCATCCAGGTGGGTCCACCACAGCCCCTTCTCTAGTCCCCGGTCCCCGGTCCCCAATTACCAGTCTCTGGCTCCCAACCAACAGTCTCAAGCCCACTGACCATCTTCCACTGCCTTCTCAACGCCATGGGCCTCCTATCACTCTCCTTCCCCCCTCCCGTCTCTCCCATGCTGCTCCTCGCCTCGCTGCCTCCTCGTTTCCTTTCCCGCATCTCCATCCACAGGGTCTGACAACAATAAGGGCGTTCGGAGCGCAGCAGCAGTCCGCCACCATCTTCCACCGTCTCCTCAACGCCAACGGCCGCGCCTTCTACTGTTGGCTCGCCGCCTCGCGCTGGCTCGCCTTCCGTCTCGACACAATCGTCTCCGCCGTGGTGTTTCTCGTCGCCACGCTCGCCGTTGCGCTCAGGACCACCCTTGCGCCTGGCCTCGTGGCACTGGCTTTGAGCTACACACTGCAGATGTCTGGCATGCTGCAGTGGGCCGTGCGGCAAGGGGCGGAGGTCGAGAACATGGTGAGACAGATCGACTTCTGCTCTACTCTGTGCCGTTTCATCTCCTTCTCTTCTCTCCTTCACTGGCTTGTGTTGCGAAGAGTAGAGACCATCCACTGCCTGGCCTGTTGACGCTGGCTCCTCTCAGTTACACGCTGCGGCAGATGTCCGGTCCGCCATGCTGTAGTGGGGGCTTTTGAGTTGCCTCAACAGTCGCTGGTTGGTGCTGGCTCCCCTGACCAGCTGCAGCGAATGTCTGGCATGCTGCAGTGGGCCGAGGGGTCGAGGTTGAGAACATGGTGAGAAAAGCGGCTCTGTTCTCTGTGCCGGCAGATACTCGGACAAGCCCGGGCACATCCCGTCGTTTTTACTTTCTCAAAACGCGCATCCCTCTCTTGCCCTGTCTTGCCCTCTCTCCGCAGTCCACAGGTGTTAAGCGAGCACTGAATACACACACTTGCCACAGGAAGATAGATTTGTACAAGCCTTGCCGCATCCACCCGCCTTCCCTCCCTTGCCCTGTTTTTCCCGCTCTCCGCAGTTCACGGGTGTTGAGCGAGCATTGGAGTACACACACTTGCCACAGGAAGAGGGGTTGGAGGTGGGGGGTCAACAAGAGGGGCAGGGAGGTGGCGGGAAGGGAGGCAACAGCAGGAGGAGGTGGCTCAAAGGGGGGCTCTGTGGGAAGAACGAGGAGCAGAAGCAGAGGGAGGGGAAGGGCGAGCAAGGGAGAGGAGGAGAAGAGAAGCAAGGGGAGGTGCTGCCTGGCTGGCCGAACGAAGGGGCAGTGAGGGTGGAGGGGTTGACGGTGCGGTATAGACCCACTCTGGACCCTGTGTTGCAGGACGTGAGCTTCCAGCTGCTGGGGGGGGAGAAGTGCGGCGTGGTGGGGCGCACTGGTGAGTGCTTGCCTCCTTGCCTGCCTGCTAGCTAGTGGTTACGAGGGAAGAGCATTGTGCTAGCGGTGGTGGTTGTGGTGATTGATTTTTTAGGCGCCTCAAAATTCAACTCATTGAGGCGCCTCAAAATTCAACTCATTAAGGCGCCTCAAAATTCAACTCATTGAGGCGCCTCAAAAGAGCATTGTGCTAGCGGTGGTGGTTGTGGTGATTGATAGGTACCTTGCAATGATTGCAACGAAATGGATGCATTGTTTGCTGAACAATCTCCAGTCAACGCTCATACTGCTTGCTTGCTCTCTTCTGCCTCGTGCGCCCATCTGGTGGCTCTATCCCCATAGACCTCGCGTCTCTCCATAATACCTCCTGCATTGTCGGCACCATGTACCTTGCCCCATACACTCCACCCCCACCATATTACCAGGCGCGGGCAAGTCAACGCTCATGCTGGCCCTCTTCCGTCTGGTGCAGCCATCCGGTGGTTGCATACTCATCGACGGTGTTGACACTGCCACCATCTCCCTCACTCGTCTGCGCAGAAACGTGCGTGCGGGCCTGCATTTGCTTTGCGCCTGCTTGGCCTTATATGATTTCTAAGTGGCTCAAAGTCTACCATTGCTTTTGCTCCATTTGGTTCTTAAACTGCCATTTTCCCTCTCAACATCACTGTTTTATTCTGTTCATTTTGTTTGTTGGTTGGTTTTTTCCTTCTTTCTCTCTTTCGTTTCCCCAGTCTTTCTGTGTTCTCGGTGAGCTTACCGCCTTCGCTGCCCTCGTTTCATTTCCTTCCATCCCCTTCCCTTCCCCTTCCCCTTCCCCTCACCCTTCCCCTTCCTCTTCCCCTCCCCTTCCTTCCCCTTCTCCGTCTTTCCATCACTCTCACGGCACGTCCTACAGGTTATGGCAATCCCTCAAGATCCTGTGCTCTTTGGCAGCTCCCTCCGATTCAATCTTGACCCTTTCAAGTGCGTCCAAATCTGCAATGTTGCAAGAAGGCTTCAGAATCCTCAGAAGCTGTTTTGATTGTGTCCAAATCTTTGTCGTTGGAGGCAGTTTTGGGGAATTTATTACTATGCTTTGAAGTCCGTCCTTTTCTTCACAAATCTCAGAATAATCACCATGCGTCCTATTCATCGTTTTTTTCCCTATGGATCACGCAGTCAACACACCTCTCCTCTTATCATTTGCAAAGGTTCTCGTCTACGTGTGTCCCCGTTCACAGTCAGCACCCGGACGGGTGGCAGAGAGGGATGTTTCTTCCCCTTACGCTCCCTTCTCTCCAGGTTCACACACGTCTATACGCTCAACCCCTAATTCTCAACCGCTGACCCCCAACCCCTGATCCCCAAACCCCGAATCCCTAACCAACCCATTTCAGCCAGCACCCGGACGCAGCGCTGTGGGAGGCACTAGACGCACTGCAGCCGAGAGACAAGGCGGGGGGAGGGCATGTTGCAGAGAGGGCTGTTGCCACTCCTTGTATTCCCTTCTCACATGCAACCAAGTGCTTAACCCCTGCCCCCTTTCAGCCAGCACCCGGACGCAGCGCTGTGGGAGGCACTAGACGCACTGCAGCCGAGAGACAAGGCGGGGGGAGGGCATGTTGCAGAGAGGGCTGTTGCCACTCCTTGTATTCCCTTCTCACATGCAACCAAGTGCTTAACCCCTGCCCCCTTTCAGCCAGCACCCGGACGCAGCGCTGTGGGAGGCGCTAGACGCAGTGCAGCTGAGGGGCAAGGCGGGCGGGCTGCAGAGAGGGCTGGAGGCGAGCATGAGCGAGTTTGGAGAGAACTTCTCCGTGGGACAGCGGCAGCTCGTGTGCCTCGCACGGTGAGTGGGTGGCTGGAAGGCTGGGTGTTGATTGCTGTTGTGACGTGTATAGATGGACACAGGATATGCGGTGTGGGTGGAATGCAGAGAGGGCTGGAGGCGAGCATGAGCGAGTTTGGAGAGGATTTCTCTGTGGGGCCTGTAAACCCGTGGCCTTGCACGGCCGGTGGCTGCCAGCTGTTTGTCTTTATGTGCATGCATGGATCCGCCACCAGCCCACTGCCCCTCCTCTTAGCTCGTTCCTTCCCCTCTTCCCTTTTTTCCCTAGTCCCTGCCTGGTGTCTGATTTGCCTTGTCCGCTCTGCATGCATACCAGATGTCTGTTCTGAAACATCCCCCCCCGTTCCCTCGTTACCCTCCTCCCCTTCCCCCTACTTCCTTGTCCTCCCTCCCTTGCAGCGCTGTGCTGCACCGCAGTCGCATTCTGCTCATGGACGAGGCGACAGCGAACGTGGACATGGCCACAGACGCGCTCATCCAGACCACCATCCGCCGCCAGTTTGCTGCCAGCACCGTCATCACCATCGCTCACCGCCTGCACACCATCATCGATGCCGATAAGGTGGGGTTTCTCTGCTTGCTTTCTTGACTACAGCAGCTTAACTGCACTGGGTGCTGTGTTGCCTGACACGTGCGATGGAGTCGGCTCCTGACACACCCTAGACACGACTACACATGATATGCAACCTACATCATCAATCCATGCATGTCCCCATGCGTTGCCCAACTTCTCCTTCTCTACTCTGGTAATTCCGCAGGTTTTGGTGCTGGAGCAGGGCCGGGTGGTGCAGTTTGGGTCACCGCAGCAGCTGGCAGCAGACCGAGTGGGCTCTTTCTCTCGCATGATCTCCAATACCGGCCGATCAGCTGAGGCATCCCTGCGCTCTGCTCTCGCCAGAGACGGCTCGTTGCGAGAGGCTTCACTAAGAGATGCCTCGGTAAAAGAAGCAGCGGCGGGAGATGTTTCAGGGAGAGAGGAAGGGCAGCGCGACAAGGAGGATGTGAATATTGATGTGATGCCGTTGGTGAGTGATGGTTTGCTTTGTGATAGGGATTTAGCTGCTAAGGCAGGGATTCTGACGAGGATGGCATAGCTGCTGGTAGTACCAAGGAAGATGCATGAATGTCTGACGTTACATTGTGTATAATTCATTCTCTGTTAAGTTTGCAAAAGGATAGAAGTCTTACAGAAATCTCTTCTGGAATGCCGCACTCATCTCTGAGTGCAAGAACAAATGAAACTTAACTTGCTGTGTGCATAGACGAACCGGTACATCTACTATCAAACGAAATAAAATGGTTAAGAGTTCTCGCTCACCTATTCCACACCCTATTATCTATCCACGTATATCAACCATCACACAAGGTGTGCTCTATGGTGAGTCTAAGAGAAACCGCCTCCCACGCCCCGCCACGCACGGCACGAAAAACGCTCGTCTCAGCTGCCCCCGGATCGCACCCTTCCAATTCGCCGCGCTATTCACAATGGCGTAATGCGTTCCAGGGTTCGCGTCAACCTCCTGTAGCACATCTGCGACAGTCCTGCTAGCGTTTAGCGAGGGTTTCCGTTGCGCGTTCATGACCCATCCCGTTATCCAGTACTTAGGTCCGTCGAAGCGCCAGCGCATGCGGCCTCTACCGGGGATCGAGAGCAGAGGCGGCCCGTCGTACCCCACAGGACCGAAGTTGATGTACCGAGTGGTGGGGACGAACACGCTCTCCGTGACGAGTCGGAATTTCACGTTGACGTTATTGCCTCTCCTGCACGCACGCGAGACCATGGCGCACCGTCAGCACCGCTCCCTCTCACGGTCCTCACTCATGCGTCCATCGCATGTCACACTGTGTGCCTCGCACGCCGTGACTCACATGCAGTTTATTAAACAACGGGAGGGGTTTCATAAAATTATATCGCGTAAAGACGGTTTTCTAGCTTATTGCGGGCTTACTTGTAAACGGTGATGGTGAGAACACCATCGGCATCTCGCCTTCCGAAGACGAACCCCGGAATGCGCTGCTGCTTCAGCACAGCCCTCGTGACGCCTGCTCATCGGGCGCGCCGGTGATTTAGGGATGGAAGTGTCGGGGGGAAGCGGGTGAGAGGGTAAATGAGGAGTGTGCGAGACGTAAAAAGGGGTTCATCTGATACGGGAGATGAGGCGTGTGAGGAGAGAGCGGATAGCTAGTACGAGAAACGGTGAGTGTAGGAAACCAAACGGTGAGTGTTTGATACCAAACAGTGAGTGTAGGATACGGTGCGTATGGCGACTCACTGACGGTTCGGCCAATGGAGCCGGAGAGGAGCCCGCCAGTGCACTTGACTTGCCACGAGTGCGAGCATGTGGCGAACAGGCCGAAGAGAAGAGCCACTAGGAGAACACTCTTGGCACCTGAAAGGCACGGAATTGGAACGAGATAAAACTAACGCTTTGAGAACATTGCGTCTAGCTACGAACATCTTTCGTCAAAGAACCATCTGTATGTGCGATTTCCGGAAATATGCATTAGCTTGCTTGTGCTGCTAATGCTTTTTTAGAGTGCTGGTGGGCAAATCTCCTACCATTCCGTTGTCCCATAGCTGATGAGATGCCTGTCACTCAGGATGCACGCGGGTTTGTGCTGGGTGAGCACGCAGATTACTTAATGCCAAACTCTCTGGGTTTCAGCTAGAACCACTACAGCTATGCGTCGACGTAAAACGATGGTGGACGCTTTATCCTTGGAAGGAAGTGATGGTGCGAGGAGAACGACAGCTGTGGAAGGGAGGGGAATGGGGCTGATGATGGTCCACTCCACACCACAACCACCGACAAAGGGGGGGGATTGAGGGATGGCTCGAATTGTGAATGTTGGAATTTGATGTGGCGGCGCGTCGGTTGATGAATGGCGGGAAAATAATGCTGCTTGCTGGATTGCTTATCAGCCATCGCGGTTCGACAAATATATTTCGTTGATTGCACTTGATGAATGCACAAAAAATATTTCTGCAACATCGCATACTGAAAGTCATTTTATCATTTAGGCTACATAATCATTCAATAATAGATACTAAACCATTTTTATCTGCATCCTACAATTATGAATAGGCTCTATCGCCAGCCAAATAAATAGGAAAAATATTTTCTATAAACAGAATAACCTCCAAATCAGTAGAGTAGTATCATTCATTTAAGCAATTTCAATTCATGAACCCATTCAACAGCTATTTGTTTATTCATGTCCATACCGTCCATCAAATTTTCCATGAAATAACTCTCTTCCTATTCGAGGCAAACCCTGATGCTGCAATCCCAGAACTGTCATAACAACATGTCTTCTCCTAGTTGAAGCAGTACACTTCCTACGGTTTTTTCATTGAAGCTTTTGTTGTATCAGCAACAACAGCACGCTTTTGCACTCAACCGAAGTTGCTATTCCTGAAGGTGCAGTATGTGGCTGGCAGGGGGGAGCGAAGACCAGGGAGATTCATAAAGGCAGACGGGCCAATGAGCAAATACTCGTTGTTAGAATTATATTCTTGTACAACTGCAAGTAAACTAGCTGTGTATTATCATGTTAGGTTTCTTGTATATTGATGGTGTACCTCCATTTGCCACCTTTCCCATTGTATCTCTTGCAATATTGGAATCCCGTCTTCTTCTCTTCTCTCACGTTCCTATTGCTGTGAAGAAACAAGAATGAATGATTGACTAGGAAATGAGTTGGGTACAAATATGAAACGCTAGGAAACTGTACCCCATAGTGTCTACCCCACTACAGCCTAGACAGGCTACCGTAATCACCCGGACATAACACCCTAGGGTCTTACTTTAAATACAGCAAAAAAATGGGGGGGGGTCTTCTCATAGGAAAAAGCTACATACCACCCGGGTGCATATATATGATATTTTTTTAGTGTAAGGGTTTCTATAAATAGGCAGCTTGGGTGTTTTCAAGGTTGGTTTAGCATCACAGCTGGAAGCGAGATTGTCAGTTTCGACGACAACATTGACTCCTCCTTGAAGTTGCGAGGTGGCACCTCTTTGGCCACTTGATAGCGAAAGAACTACCAGCGTGGCAACAGTGAAAAAGTGGGACGGAGGTGACCCCAGCAGATACTTTCGAAATTACCATGTAATTTCGTGCAAAAAGTGATCGTCGCGATGTCCCCCCGTCATTGCACATACTCGTTAACACCTAAAATAAGGCATTCTGTGTAAAAAAGGGGGTGTTATAAAAAATCACCCCAAAAGGGGGGGTATAGTACAAACGGGGTCAACTATAACACCCACCCCGCACAAGCCACCCGGGGGGTCTACAATTTCGGCGGGTGGTATGTCCGGGTGATTACGGTATATGATTGATGTTTGACACACCCCCATAGGCAAAGTGGGGGAGAACAAGGGGTCACAAGACCAGTCATGCAAAGCAAAGCAAAGCAAGCTCAGGGTGGATCACAACGTCACCACACATTCCGAGCACAGGTTCAAAGGCCACAAGGCCAGTTCATATGCAGGATTATATATAAGAGGTAAACAAGCAAGTGCAGGTATATATATAGATCACCGTACAAGTAAAGTCAAGAGGTAAGCAAGTGAGGCCAAGTAGGCACAAGACCTAGCATAGTACAGAAGCGATGATGATCACAAGGCTGAAGTGCCTTGGTGAAGATATCAGCAGTGTTGGCCTGAGAGGCCACGTAAGCAAGGCGCAGCTGACCACGCTGCTGCAGCTCACGAGCAAGGAAGTAGCGAAGAGCAATATGCTTCGTTCTGTGCTCCAGTCTGTGCTCCCGACACAAGGCCAGCATGGCCTTGTTGTCTACGTACAGAACTGGAGGAGAACGAGGCGGCTCTCCGAGGTCAGTCAGCAGGTAGGTGAGCCAGCGTAACTCCTGTGCAGCCATGGCCCCTGCGTAGATCTCAGCCTCACAGCTGGAGCTGAGAACAGAAGACGAGCGGGTAGACCGCCACGAAACAGAACCGGAACCAAGGCTGAAGGTGTAACCCTGTGACGACCGCTGAGTAGCCAGGTCGTCAACCCAAGACGCGTCTGCGTGACCAGTCAGGACCACTGGACTCCGCCCTCCAAGCACGAGCCCCATGCCCGACGTACTGCACAAGTAGCGCAACACCCTCTTCGCGGCAGCCATGTGCTCTGGTCGGTGTCTCCCAGGAGCAACATAGCGTGCCAAGATGCTAAGAGGGTATGCCAGGTCAGGTCGAGTGCAGGTCATCAGGTACATGAGGCAGCCAACAAGCTCTGGGTACGGGCCACTCGGCTCTACGGACTCATCCGAAGGCAGAGCTGAGAGCGAGTGGCGAGTAGACAGAGGAGTGGCCTGAGGCGAGGAGTACGTGAAGTCGAAGCGCTGAAGGACCTGCTGCACCATGTGTGACTGAGTCAGGGTAATGGTGCGCCGTGCTCTGTCCCGGGTGATCTGCAAGCCAAGATAGCTTGTCAGTTCACCCAGGTCTGTGCACGTGTGTCTCTTCTGCAGCTCGGACTTCACGTGGGCAAGTCCAGCAGTGTCAGCCGTAGCAAACACCAAGTCGTCGACGTACACGAGGATGTAGAACGGCGGCAGCAAAGTGTCGGTGCGAAGAAACAGCGACGGGTCAGCAGTAGAAGGAGCAAACCCAAGAGCCGCAAGCGTAGTCCTCAGTGTGTCGTGCCACTCACGGGGCGCCTGGCGGAGACCGTAGACTGGCCGCCGGAGGCTCCACTGGGTACCTGCAGGAAACGACCCAGTGAAGCCAGGTGGGTGGCGCAGCCAGATCTCCTCGTGCAGGCTGCCCTGTAAGAAAGCAATGCTGAAGTCAAGAGAGTGAAGCTCGTAGTCACGCTGAGCAGCGACATGCAGCAGAACCCGAAGAGTGGTCATCTTCGGGGTCGGGGAGAAGGTCTGAAAGTAGTCAACTCCCTGCCGCTGTCTGAAGCCTCGAGCCACGTAACGCGCCTTGAAGACAGGGGGAGAACCCGGCGGTCGCTTCACCCTGAAAATCCACATGCCACTGACGATGTTCGCCCTAGGTGGGGGAACGTCGTCGACGTAGGTGCCTGTGGACTTCCAGGAAGCCATCTCTGCATCCATGGCTGACTGCCACTAAGAGGA